ATTTGCTTGCGGCTACACTGTACTCTGAGCAGGAGGTTTTGTTTTCCTAACAATGTTTTAGAGCAATTCTCTTACATCCCAGATATGTTATAGCTGGAGTGCCTTGACTACTAGGTTTATTAATCTGGAGAACACCAGAGATCCATGACCGTCTTCATATGTTACATTCTGTACTCTTTCTGCTAGGGATTTTGCATTTAGGAAGTTGTTTTCTAAAGTTGTTTACAATCCCACCATTGCATGGTCTTGGTTACATATTCCATTTACTTATGCTACAAAGTAATTTATAAAATACATTCTTACCTGGGTATTTCTTTTCATTGATCATCTTCCAATAGCCATATTTTGACTGTAAATTTGAGCAGCATCCTTTTTATTTTAAAAAAAATAAAAATGTATTTGTATTTTTTTTTGCAGGTGAATACATAACAGTAACAGATGTCACAACAGCATACTTGTATATAGACAGGTAAAACAGTGGCATGGATAAATGCACATTTTATGTTTTATGAAAATGCCTTATATTGCTGACATGTCTCAGAGGCGAACAGTTTGTATTCAAGATCGGAGAGACAGGCATATGGTTCTATAGTAAGGTGATGTGAGTGAAATATGCATAACAAACCTTAAAAAATTACATTGAATAGCATGGTATGAGGGTGTATACAAAGTGTGGCACAGATTAGATTTGAACCCATGCTTTTAACTGCAAAGAAAATACCTCCATGTGTTTTATAACAGAAAAAAATATATAACATGCTAGCAAAATATTTTATAGCGGTTCCAAGCCAGGTGCATCCTAAGAGGTCATTGTCTTGGTAAGAGAGTGTAGCGGTGGGGTATGCCCTCTCGTGTGTCCCCTGGTGTGATGCATGTGGTATGCTTGTAGCTTATACATCCTGACAGCGTTACCTGCAGCATCCTTTTTACTTATATCAAGGTAGAAGCGTTTAAAAATATATATATATATACACTGAACAAAATTATAAACGCAACACTTTTGTTTTTGCCCCCATTTTTCATGAGCTGAACTCGAAGATCTAAGACTATTTCTATGTACACAAAAGGCCTATTTATCTCAAATATTGTTCACAAATCTGTCTAAATCTGTGTTAGTGAGCACTTCTCCTTTACCTAGATAATCCATCCACCTCACAAGTGTGGCATATCAAGATGCTGATTAGACAGCATGATCATTGCAAAGGTGTGCCTTAGGCTGGCCACAATAAAAGGCCACTCTAAAATGTGACATGCACGCCCTCTCAGATATACATACATTGACATACATACACACTCACTGATTTGACACACTGACAAACACACAATCACTCTGGCACACACTAACAGACGCATGCACTAACTGACAGACACACGCACATACTAACAGACACTCACTCACTCACAGACATACACTTATAGACACATACACACACACTAACAGACAAAATCACTCACATATACACACACATTCACTGACAGGCAAACATACTCACTCACTGACAAACAGACAAACTCACTCACAGACATACACTGACAGACACCCATACTCACAGACATACACCCTGTTCCAAATTATTATGCAAGTTCTATTTAAGTGTCACAAAGATTAAATATTTTGTTTTTCAGTTTAACTCATGGATGGCATTGTGTCTCAGGGCTCTTTTGATCACTGACAACAATCTCGGACACCTGTGATAATTAGATTGCCAGGTGAGCCCAATTTAAGGAAAAACTACTAAAGGAGGGTGTTCCACATTATTAAGCAGAGCACCATTTTCATGCAATATGGGGAAGAAAAAGGATCTCTCTGCTGCCGAAAAGAGTGAAATAGTTCAATGCCTTGGACGAGGTATGAAAACATTAGATATTTCACAAAAACCTAAGTGTGATCATCGCACTATTAAGAGATTTGTGGCTGATTCAGAGCACAGAGGGGTTCGTGCAGATAAAGGCACATTGAGGAAGATTGCTGCCAGATCCATGCATCGGATCAAGAGAGCAGCTGCTAAAATACCATTACATAGCAGCAAACAGATATTTGAAGCTGCTGGTGCCTCTGGAGTCCCACGGACATCGAGGTGTAGAGTCCTCCAGAATCTTGCAACTGTGCATAAACCTTCTATTCGGCCATCACTAACCAATGCTCACAAGCAGAAACGGCTGCATTGGGCAGAAAAATACATGAAGACTAATTTTCAAACAGTCCTGTTCACCCTGTTCAAACAAGGCTGCGACATCAGCAAGGCGGTGGTGGAGTCATGTTTTGGGCCGGAATCAAGGAAGAACTATGTTTTCCGTAATTAAATCATCTTCATGCATGACAACGCACCATCTCATGCTGCAAAGAATAGCTCTGTATCAATGGCTGCTATGGGGATAAAAGGAGAGAAAGCCATGGTGTGTCCTCCATCGTCCCCTGACCTCAATCCTATTGAGAACGTTTGGATCATCCTCAAGCAAAAGATCTATGAGGGTGGGAGGCAGTTTACATCCAAAAAGCAGCTCAGGGAGGCTATTATGACACCTTGCACACAAATTCAAGCAGAAACTGTCCAAAAACTCACAAGTTCAATGGATGCAAGACTGCTATCAAATAAGGGGTCCTGTGTTAAAATGTAACGTGACCTGTTAAAATGTTTAAAAAGTTAAAATGTTGTTATAAGTTTGATTGAAATAGCTTTTGATTTCAGTAAATATGCTGCAAACACAACAAATGATAACATGAGAATTATGCTGACTGTTATTTACATCAATTATTTAGGTAAATGAGAAAAATATCAATTGCATAATAATTTGGAACTGGGTGTACACACATGCTCACAGACATACACTGACAGACACGCGCACTCACTGACACACACATTCACTGACAGATACACACTCACTCACAGACGTACACTGACAGACACACTCACTCACACACACACACACACTCATAGATGTAAACTGACAGACGCATTCACTGAGAGACACACATGCACTCACTGACAGACACACACACACTCACAGACGTACACTGACAGACACACACACTCACAGACACACACACATTCACAAATTATAATTTTTTAAATTAAAATCAACCCAGCCTCCCTACCTTTGCCTCCTAACCCAGCCTCCTATAACCAGGGGTCCAGAGGGGCTGATGTCCCTGGGATCCAGTGTAGGTGCTGGCCTGAATTGAAGGTTCTGCAGGGTCCTGTGCTCCTCAGTTGGTGGGCAAGCAGGCGTCCGGTCAATGTTGGCAGTGAGGGAGCTGTGATCTTCCTGCTCACCTTCCTCACGCACCGCTTAATGATGCGGGAGCCGGAGTGACGTCAAATTCCAGCTCTGGAATCACCGCTGGGTGCGTGAGGGAGCTGAGCAGGAAGGGCTCAGAGGATAGTGCTCCCTTGCCGCTTGCAATATTAGTAGCTTCCTGCAGAAGTGGGGCAGCAGGCAAGCTCTTGGGCTCGCTATGAAAGAGGCTGACGAGGCATCTGCCAGGGCACGCTTGGGGGGGGGGCCTGCATTTTTTGATGCCCCCCCTGAAAGTGCCGTCCAAGGCAAATGCCTTGTCAGCCTTGCGGAAGATACAACCCTGTTGTAGTTGCTAAAGAAATATGAGGATATTGCTTGTAGCGGATTTGGTATATGTGATGCCTCTCAGAGGTTGGTGGAAATTGCTGGAAAATTGGAGGATATTGCTTACAGTTGATGTGATGTTTTTGAGGCCTCCCAGAGCTTGCTGGAAATTCCTGACAAAATGGAGAATATTGCTTGGTGCGGATTTGAGGTTTGTGAGGCGTCTAGATAGGATAGCATGATCTACACACCAAATCCACTTAATTAAGCAAAAGTTGTTTTAGTATTTAGAGTGTCCGTTTCATGTAAGGTTGTTTTCCTGTGTGTAATATCAGTCACAGAGGCTGTGAATTTCCTATCTTATATACACAGCCCTTTTTGGCTTTAGTTTTCATTATATTATTATTTTTTGTTTTTGTGAGTGAACATAAATGTCGATGTCTTTTGAAGTTTTATTATACAATCAGGATAATATTTTTTTTGTGGGGGGGGGGGATGTGCCTACATATCAACTACAGAAATATTACTTTTCTTTTAGTTCTAAGCTTAACTCTTATTCTGAGTGTGAAAACTACAAAACAGAAGTTATCACAGGGAAAAGACCTTGAGGTATACAGCCTCGTAAAATGTCTCAGCAATAAAACAGTGAGATCTACTGTGACTGGGCAACATTAAGGCATCCGAAAATCAGTTATACACATCTGTAAATTGGCCTTTGCACTTAGATATCAAGACATGTAGGGCATAGTTTGAAACAAATGTCTAGTGGAGAAATCAGACCTTATTTACACGTTTTTTAAATGTGCTGAAATGTTGCTGTCACTGTCATATGTTTGAGCTGGTCAATCATTATGATTTAGTAAAGCAGGTTGATAAAGCAGATCAGTAGTTTTTTTTCCATAGTAAAATTGGCATTTTGCATCCTAACCGGATCTGTAGAGTGATTAATTTTCTCTTCTAATATCATTTTAAAGTTATGATTTTGTAAGTATAAGAACTACTTTACAGCACGGGCTATTCTTCCATGTGCTTAATTAGCTTCTTGTGCCTAAAGCTCAACATTTTCTCGATGCAGCTTGAATGTAGGTTGACTTCAGACATCAATAAAGTTATAGATGAAGAAGTGATTGCAAATAAAACAAGGAAAGCTAATTAAGAGAGGCCTCAAAGGTAAAGGAATTCCTGCATTCACATAGCAATAACTTGAAAATATAATTAAACTTTGTTTCTAATTAGAAATAATATTAGTAAAATATGAAACATTTAAGAACTAACTTATTGATTATTATCAACCCTAGAAGAATGGTCTGAGAACCACTATTTAATCAAAAACACTCTTGTGAACACAATTGAATGAATACAAACCAGTTATACACATTCACAAATACTTTAATAAATCTTTATCTAATGATATCTATATAATCTTAGTAATTTCATGGGTATGAAGTAAACATTGTGAATTCTATAAAAATGACCAATTTTACACATCTCCTATGTACAATTTCCAATGTAAATATGCTTAATTATTATAAAACATAGAATTAAAACTCTTAAAATATGAGCGAGAAATAAAACAATGTCAGATATAAAATAAAGAGAAGAAGCAGTTTGCAAGAGGGTGCATGTTACATGTTTAAGTGCTAGAAGTAAACACTGGTATCGCCCTGTGTAGAGAGCTATAGGGCATTAATACTACTGCCCGTATCCACCGGGAAGATGAAAATACACAAAGCACTTTACAAGAATCAGAAATAATGTTTTAAAATAAATTAAAATTACAATCTAAGTTTCAAATAGTCCATTTTGCTGTGTTGCTCTTCCCTTTCAATGACCAGGTCAGTTGGCGGCTTGAGGTGTGAATCCATTAAAAAAAAATACCCCCCCCCCCATCCCAAAAACATAAAAATTATAATAAAAAAAAGCTTAGATCAAGAATCAGCTTTCCACGATGAGGTCTGTTGGACTGTATTTGCCCTACTGATTGATCGAAGAATGTATTGTTTCTCGGCTCCTTGATGCTTTGTTGGATCTTCTCGGTATGTCATCTTTCGTTTGTGGGGAAAAAAGAAAGAGTCTTAGTCTAGGATGATCAGTACATATTCATACTGGACTCATTGTAACAGTTACTTACATCCTACTGACTCATCTACCTGTGGTTCTACTTTACACAATGAAAATATACTGTATGCTATATATCAGGCTGGACGAGTTATTCATTATAAAGATATAAGGAATGACAAAGTGATTATACAAGCTGTAACACAGTCTTTATTAAATATCAGGTTGCAATCTGCCAGTTATGTCTTGTTAAGGGCAAAATCAACAATTGCTTCTATAACCTACCAGATCAGATTTACTATCTGACCATGTACTAAGTAAACAAGGATGGCTGCACAGGCAAACTGTTTTACTTATTGCTATGTCTCACAGAGGTTTATCCTTTTAACACTTAATTGTAGTGAATTAAAAGGTGAACACAATATTTAGATATTTAGAACGATTACATTGCAGGACTAAGACTGCTTCTAGCGGCTGCCTACTAGAGGCACTTCCTGGTATGACTTTTGGTCGCATACTAAGAAGGAACAGTTAATGAAAAAGATGCAAAGTGAGAAATGATAAAGGACAGGTATGAAACGAACAATAAACAGGTAAAGAAAACTAGACATACCAATTTTCCCTATAGCACCGAGTGAAATGTTAGACAAGGAAGAGGAGAAGCTGAACAAGCAAGGGTCACATGATAGCTGACAGAGAGAAGAGAAAGAAGGATGAGGTTCCCGGTTTGATCAAAGCTGTAAATTTTACATTAAACAGACAGGGTCACAGAATTACTCGGCCACTTCACACAGACCTTAACCAGGCACTAAATAGAGCTAGCTTGCTACTAGATTGCTGTTTGGTCAAGAATAAGAACTAAGCTCTTTACACATACTGTTAAGAGTCAGGACAAGCACAGGTGTAATCCACTTCACTACATGTGTGCTGGGGAAAATATTTTTCAATTTACTTGCTCTGTGTGATGCCTGAGCAGAGCATGGATTATGTAATAATGTGGGAGAATAACAGTCAATGGGATGAGCAAGACAATGATGGAAAAACTGCGATGATTAAAGTTAAAAACCCAAAACATCCTGTGGATAGAGAAAAATAACCTAGGGAGAATTAAAGTGCTACATCTTATGACTATCACTGCTCTTAACCCTTTTAGTGTTTGCAATGCACAGCATAGACAGGTTTCCCCTTTAAGGAGGTAGGTTTATTTAAAATGATATATAATGTACAAATTAACATGGGTTTTAATATAGCCTCATGGTTTACAATTTCCAAAGCTGTCCCACCTTTAAAGGGGACATCTAGTCATCCTTTACTGTTATTCCATGACTGTGCATTGCAGAGCTCCTTGGCTGGAACATAGACAATACAGCACAATGATGGACAATAGTTGATCCCATGATCCCCTGCTGGCCTAACAGGAAACATAGGGGACAAAAGTTGAATTCCCATCTCTGATCTTGTAAATATGAGCCAGTTTATTTGGGTTTTAAAAGCTACAACCTGATTAAAGCAAGCATTAGGATTTTTAATGCTATTAAAGAAACCACTATAGTTTGCAAGGCTTCTTACAATTTAATATGCCTACTAGCCTCACAGCATTTTGCTTTAGTTTAACGAAGTACATCGATTCCCCAAAGACAGGCAACATCTATCATTGCAGCTGCTGCGATCTACTCCCACAAATCACAGCCATGTATCTGTGGTTGTATCCGACAGCCGTTGGAAGTTGCCAGCCTCCTCATATTCTTAGAGAACGTACTGCACAGCTCACCGGCTCATTCATGACTTCAGAGAGCTCTGCCAGGATGTCTCTGTAATGGGATTTCATTTCCTCTTGATATTCCAGCTGATCCTCTTTTATAAGCCGCTCATTGACTTCCAGAGCGAGCCCGCAGGTTTCTGCAAATTGTCTGCAAAATAATTGGAATATTATCACTTTGTAGTTAAGGAGAGCTGCACAAACCCAACAACTACCTCTGAGCCAGAACTAATACTGGGATGTATTTACTAAACTGGGAAATATAGCCATTGACATTTTACACTACAAGCACGCAACTGAAATTGTTTTTCCAGCTCAGCTATTTTTACATTTTCTTTATCAAAACATTATATCACCCCCTAGTTTAGCAGAGATAAGTTACCACGCCTGCTCTCCAGCTGTCATTGAACTACAATTACCATAATCCTGGGATATGAAGACCAACAACAGCTGGAAGGCTAAGGAGGAGATCCCCAGGTCTAATACAAGGAATACTGCCTCCATGTACAATATCTATATGGTACTCTGTCTATAGGTTACAGCATGGGTCGTCAACCTGGACCCTACTGCCCACTAGTGGGCGTTTCAGGATTCCAGGTGGGCGGTAGGGATTTTCTAATTTTGAGAGACTGGGCGGGTGCAAGCCGGCGGTACCCCTGCGACCGGGTACCGCCATCACCACTTGCGGCCCCGGCCCGAGCGGCAAACCGCCGGGGCCCCATATGTAGGGGTCCATCGGGTGGCCCATGCTGTCAGGGCCACCCGATGGATGTGGATTGTGAGGGGGCCCGGTCAGCGCTGGGCGCTTTAACAGCGTGACCGGGCCCCCTGTGATTACATTACATTACATTACATTACTGCACGTCACCCCTCCCAGCTAACACTGAGACCGCGCGCGAGGAAGACCAGGGAGTCAGAGTGGGAACTCTGACTCCCATCCACCTGAGCCACCACTGGACCTCAGGGAATGTCACCCTCCTGCACCTAAAAGGTAGGAAACAGGAGGGTGACTAAAATATTTTGTGTGTGTTTGTTTGTGTATGTGTCTTTGCATGTATGTCTTGTGTGTATGTATGTGTGTCTTATGTATGTGTCTTTGTATGTAAGTGTGTGTCTTTGTATGCATCTGTATATATGTGTGTGTATCTGTCTGTATATATGTGTGTATGTGTCTTGTCTTTGTATGTATGTGTTGTGTGTGTATGTGTCTTTGTATGTATGTGTGTCTTGTGTCTGGCTGTATGTGTGTATGTGTCTTTGTATGTATGTCTTTTATGTGTGTCTTTGTATGTGCGTGTCTGTATGCATGTCTGTGTGTGTGTCTGTATGTATGTGTGCCTGTCTGTTTGTATGTAGGTGTGTCTTGTGTGTGTGTCTGTATGTATGTATGTGTGCCGGTCTGTTATAGTGGGCTATAGTAAGTAATAGTAAGTGGGATACCTAGCTCAGCCTTCCTACTGGGCATTGCTATAAGGAAGTTTAAAAATTAAAAAAAAAGGGGAAAAAAAGGTGGGGAGGGGAATTGGGGAGGGAGAGGAGGGGAGCTGACGCACAGATGAGAAATCATATTATGCGCAAATAGAGAAGTCGTCTGAATATCACCGAAAGAGGAGACCTGCGTTTGTTTTCAGATATCAAATATCAGCATTAACCTCAAGGATCTCATTAATCACTAGTAAAGGTAATTTCAATTTACTTTATTGTTTTCTCATTAAACTTTATAAAGTTAAAAACATTATAAACCTGCATTAAGTAGAAATAAAAAGATAAATGTACGTACATTTATTTATTTTTTTAAAACACCCTCCTTTCTAAAAAATATTCCGCACTTGCGTGAAAACTGGTGGGCAGTAAGGAAATATTTTCAACCAAAAAGATGCATTAGTGGGCGGTAGGAAGAAAAAGGTTGACTACCACTGGGTTACAGCCTTACTTGTTTTTTTAATAAAACATTAAAATATACACAGATGAACTACGCAAGACCCTTTTAACATGTCAGTTCATACATTTTATTGCCCCTAAAATGGTTAATAAATCCACTGTTTACAAAAAAAAAAATCAAACAGAAAGCAATTAGTAACCTGAATATTTCTTTAAGGTGCTTCACTTGACTCTCTGGGTAATTGTTTGCATTTGTCTCTGTTAAGAAAGCTCTTGCATATGCCATAGGCCCAGCATTTACCTGTAATATACAATATATGTCAATAGAGGAAGGGTCATTTACAGGAGGTGCAAGATAATCAATTTATATTCTCTGTGGACTGCGATCCTATCAGTGTTAGCCTGGCTGTATAAGGATAATGGTTATGGTAGGCACAATAAAGGCAGATAATCAGAGTGAACTACTCATTTTTAGATGTCCCCCGTAAAGGGACATGCACCATTTACATTTTTTTTTTACCCAGCAAGCAAATACTTTTAAACAAAATAAACAAAGAAAAATGTTGAAAAAGTATGTAATAAGCTTTTATACACTTGATATGAACATGGTCAGATTGCATTATTGGTCACCCCTCTCAACTAGGGGAGTAGTTTCATCCCCCTTACTCATCAAGCCGATGTTCAGACCAGTCCACTAATGACATAAACGGGGGATCATTGTGCAGCAACAGGAGAAAGTCTGCTCTGCGTGATCGCACTGATCAGACTCCCTCTTCTCCCCCTGTCAGCATGTTTCAAGTTGAAGAGATCTTCCAACTGCATACTGTGTAAATCTATCAGGTATGCCCAATGTACTTTTCCAGCATTTCTAGGGATAAAACACTTATTGGTTAGATCAGTGTCCCCCCTGGAGTGGGTGTGGAAAGAAGAAGCAGATATGAAAATCATATTTACCTGCTTATCTTTCTGCTTGCAGACTGTCTCATTCAAAACTAAATCTTTTCAATCTTTTTAATGAGATAGTGATGCAAGTCCCTTTAAAGGGATACTATAAGTGCCAGGAATACAAAGCTGTATTCCTGGCACTATATCTCCCTCTGCCTCCCTCCTCCGTAGCCCTGTACTTACCTTATCCAAAACACGATGTCCCTCTGCTCTGGGTCACAGATCCGCCTCCTCCAACGTCCTGCGATGAGTGGGCGCTAATTCGCCTGCAAGGCAAGTGCCTCAGGCAGGGACACTGCACCCAGACCACTTCACTGAGCTGAAGTTGTCTGCGTGTCTATAGTGTCCCTTTAAGCAGATTCAGGGACCTTACTGCCGAACTGTAACATCCATGAGTTACAAGTGGTGGAGGAAGAGAGGACCAGCAAGCCATTAGTACTAAATATAATATACCTCCTTAAATGGTACACCAAAACTATGCAAACCTCAAAGGGACTGTAAACTTAGAAGGCCTGCACTGCATATGTCATTGCCTCACTTTTGACAGTGTACCTACCTATTGTGTGCAACTCGAAAAATGACAAAGACTGTGACAAACATAGACAACATTACATAGTCCACACCTTACTTATAATACAGCTTTGTTTGTATCAAAATAAATAGTCACAATTAAAACATTGTGGGATTAATTTACCAAATAATTAATGGAAATTAATACAAACTACATGTTCTACATTTAATAACAAACAACATAGTAAAGAATATTGTCAAGTTAGGATATTCCAAATTTTTTGCTGTCATTTTTAAATTCACCGCAGTTCACTATTTTGATTATCTGTTTAAATTCATTTACCACATTTGTACTGGTTTCAAATGAGAGCACATGGCAACCAAGACTTTTTAAAAGAAGACAGTCTGTACACAACTTACTTTAACACTCACGCTCCCTTGAAGCTTAAGTTGAAGCCTAATCATATCTACTCCTTCCATTGTGCAGAGTTCCTTAAGTTCTGAAACCTTTTTCGACATCTCATCTATTGCGACTTCAATGGGGTTCAGTTCCGTGCTTGTCTGTTTAACAACTTGTATCCTTTTCTTCACATAAGGAAAAGAATGACTTGCTGTATGAAACAAAATAATGAATTGTTGTATTGCTGTATGAATTTAAATTTCCAAAATATATTTCATTTTTGCTTTCATTATTTTAATTGTATTCTTGTCTTTGTTGTGTCATTTAACTAAAATGCTGAGAGGGTTATTTACTTATTTGAGAATAGTCAGGATTCAAAGTGAATTTCACATTTAAGTTCAAAATATCTGACTTGGAAACATTTTCCAAGTCAGCTATGCTTTCCATTATTCTATTTGGGTATTTTGGTCTAAAATGTCAATCACGCCCCCAAAAGGTGAGAGGGCGTCTGTTAATCCCATACACGGTATTACTCATTACCTGGCGTTGGCACGCATAAAAAGGAGCATGCACACAGTGGCCGGCGTCCAGGAGACTATCAGGTCGGGCAGGAGGAGGTGGTCTGCCCGATCGGCAAAACAGCTGATCGATGGGCCACAAAGGTAAGTAGAGGATTCCTTACAATACCAACCATATCCCTTACACAATGCTTACTCTTACTGTATGCCTACCCTAATTCTACCATTAACTTCAGCCCTACACTATATTTTACCCTAAAACAGCATTAGCCCACACCCAGCATTAATTATTACCTTTCCCTAACCCTACACTAAGCCAAAACCTCACCCTAACCCTAACCCAACACTAAGTGTAACCCTACTTTACTCTTGCCTATAAATCTATCCCTATCCTACACTAAACCCACTGCTAACCACAACCCTAATCCTAAGGTAATATTCTGATATAAGAACTTGGTTTTACTGTATTTAACAAGGTTGCCACCATCAACAGGCCATTTTCAGAATTACACTTGTTAGCCTGGTTCCCAGCAGATTAGCGATTGGTGCTGGAAAGCTGCTAATTCCAGTGCTAATTTCCAGTGTTGCACAGAGCTCATTGGTCAGTTTCAGGCCGCTAAAAATTACGGACGTACAGGAGCCCCAGGTATCCATTGATACCTAGGGTTAGTGGTGTAAGCAGGAATTTAACCATGTTCACTCGATGATCATTTAGATGCCTATTTAAAGAGCCACTTGCAACCCCAGCTTCCAGCACTGCAAACATCTTATCTAAAAGTCTGGGGGCAATAAAAATGGCACTTGATACCTGGGGCTCCCTGGTGTGAGCAGGGATTCAACCCTACACAAACCAAATCTACTGGGTGTTCTATGCCACCCCACTTTATGTAGGACAGCATAGAATGTTCAAACGTTGTAAAAGGGACACTGCATGCACCCAGACCACTTCATCTCATTGAAGTGGTCTTGGTGCAGTGTTCCTGTCCCCTTAACCATGCAGTGTAAAACACTGCAGTTTCAGAGAGGCTGTCTACCACTAGAGGTGCTTTCTGCTGCTTCACGGAGTTTAACGATGCTGGATGCTTTCATACTTTGCATGAGGACAACCAGCATCTTGCAGAACCCATAGGAAAGCACTTGGTTCTCACAGGAGATGAAGCCAGCACTAATGGATAGAAAGTGGGTGGTGGAGGGTAATGGGGAGGGGGCAGGGCAGAGGGACATTATAATGTTAGGAATTTGTGTTCCTAACTCTATAGTGTTCCTTTAAGGGGTTAATGGACTATTAAAAACATGCAAATGATGAAATCATAGTGAATAATGAAAGGAGGGAAGGTTAAAGAGAGAAGGGGAAGATGTTGGCTTGGAGCAAGCAGTTACCAAATAAAGAGTGGTTTGAGTCGATCTGCCTCTTGTTGGCAGCTCTCTCTGGTCTATCAAAATGCTTTTGTTATGTGTAACAGGAGTGAGAGTGTATTACTATCTGGGCAATCCTGTTATATTTAGACAGCTACTTCCAGCAAATATTCACTGATTACTTGGAGTTTATGGACATCTTGACAGTGGCCCTGCAGCTCTATCTGTGAGGCGGTGCCTAGAAATAGACCTTACTACTAGAGATTTAGCCAAAATTGACTCCACAAATTATTTCACTATTTTCACTATTGTATTTCTCTATTCACTATGCTTTTGACGGTTAATGCGTTTATTTAATAGTCCATTGATAAAGATGTAATAACATTTATTTACTTAACTTTTATATTCTCTTACAAAGGTGTGAGTCAAACCTTTTGGTGTTTCCCCTTGTATGGGTATCACTTTTAATAAAGTTTTTCTCATTGCGTATATATAAAAATAAATATAGATTTTTGTGTACGTCTCCATCTGTTTTTTCCTCTATTCCAAATCCAAATGGCGGAAAATGCTCCTGTCAGTGTATATATTTAGCAGCACACTCATTGGCCCATTTTCAAGACTTTTTAATTAGTTTTCTTGTTTCAGTTTGTGAACCAACATTCAGCCAAAATAGTTTCTATTTCCAGAAACATGATTCATCAGAACAGAAATTTCTCAAAATGTGTCACTACTGAACACATGTATGCCATGAGTCGTGATATTTCTTTAAAAAACTAAACCTAACAAGCTAACCGTTTAAAGGTGCCCTGTGACCTACGCAGGGCACAGAACTATGATTTGTATCTGCACTAGAGTGAGCCTCCTCACACCCAGCTCACTTCTTGTGCGAAATCACCTAAGCCTTCGTCTTTCCATCCTTTAAAGTTAGATAAAATATATTAGAAATTAGGTGGATAATGTTAGCAACTATATTATTGATTGGCTATTCACTATATTTTGCTCAAAGACTTGTATAAGGAGAATTATTTTTATAACACTGAATTTACGTTCATGGACCTGACAGATCTACTCAACTATGACCTGCGTATTTATACGCTCAATACCACTTTTAGTTTCACAATCTTATTGTCAAGGAGTTTCTTCATTTTTCCCCTTTCATTCATGAACCCTTTTTTCCATTTACATAAATAATCTGAAAGCTCATCGCATGACTGTCCCAATGATCACGTTGTGTCTCCTTTCTCATTTGATCAATGCTTATTGTTGACTGCTATAATTCTTCCCAAGGTGACATGGCCTGAATATCCCACCAAACTCCTCTTACTGTTTTATTTTCTTTAACTGATGATGTATTCTACAGTGCACAGATCTTATTTTCTAGGTATTATCTCGTAAAAAAAGGCAATACGAACTGAAGCTATTTCCACCGAAGTGACATTTAAGCCATGACAACATACTTGTCAGAACTGTTCGCCTCTTGCATTGCTCCTCCACACCTCCATGCTTCTTCCCTGACAATGTAAATGGAGTTTCAAACACAAATCTGCTAATATTGTGATGTTTTTCAAAATCGGTTTTCCTGTCTTCCATCTCCTTCTCGTCAAAGTAAGGCGTGACATATGTAACTTGTATGTAGGCAATCTTTGGATCTAGGTCTTTCGGGTTTACCTACATAATAAACATGCCATTGTTTATATGAATCAACAAAATATATTAAAAAAGAATGAAAAAAAACAATTGCAATAATGTAATACACTTTATAAGGAAAATCTGCCTTTCTCTATGTACCAGTAGTATAGTTTCCACAAAGTGTCTGATCATGGCATGTCCTGAGAATGAGTATTCATGGAATAACAACAAAGTACCGTATATTACAAATTTATGTGAAACAATCCGCATCGTACAAACAACTGCCAGTGGGTTAGCTCAGCAACATGGAACACATAGCCTACAGCAACTGCAGTGCTAGAGGCTATGGCATTTTTTAACGTCGTCATTACTGATTCTGCCCTTTAAACACAGCAAGACGTTCACTACATCAGTGTACCTTGTTGGAATCCTGAATAATTTTGACATTGTCTGCTCCAAATTTATCAGCGTATAGCTTGAGTAGTCGCTGTGATATCTCTGAGAGCCCAGTCAGTTTGGGTTCCTTATACACATATTCTTTGCCTTCCTCTTCTTCAAAGAAGCCCTGGAAAAAAAAATCAAGATGTTCACAGTGCAATACTTAATTTTTAATTCCCAGAAGATTATGAGTCTTCTTGTGAGCCACTTCACACAACTTATCATACAACCTCCAGTTAATACACATGTGGAGGCAAAGCATTCAGAAGCATAACATTAACATAATAGTATTAACTTATGATACAATCTGCATTAATGGATGGATTGTGGCAAAAAAATTATAATATACATAAGAAAATATTTCCCATGCTCAGTTAACATCAAATGAACATTTCTCTTTATATTTTAAACATTATCAAAAAAACACATCATTAATAAATGGGATTAATTTTCTTTGTTATATATATATATATAAACTGAGATAAAGGAAAAAAATGAATTTTCCTTTCTAAAAAGACGTATCTGATTTAAGGCAAAACAAATTGAAACTATCATATAAAATAAATATTCAATTAGATGTGTATTATGGAGCATATGGAGATTTTAAGCCAGTTTGGATAAAATTAAATTTTTTTCTGTAAATTCCCTTGCCATTTGTATAGCTTACATTTATATACTTGTAGAACTTACTACTATACAAGATATTACAGTAATATTTAGTACTATTAGAATAGCTAATTTGCTCTAAAATATAAGCATAAATAGGAATAGATTCAACTTAGGTGTCCGTATCACAAGACCAATGCTTATTTTGTTGCGATTTAGGCAACACAAAGGATGCATTGCTATAAAAAAATATTCATGTCTAACCTCTTTTTATGAAAACAAACAGTTGTGTAACCAATAGCACCTCCTAGTGGTGAATTAGTATACTGTATATTGCTGAAAAAAGCTACCGTATTAAAAAGGAGGAATTCTAAGCAATCTCAGCAAGTTCCTTAAATCTTGCAAAATTTACCAAAAAGTGCTTCCAATCATAAGCTCAAAAGAAGACAGGAAAATGTTTTGTGAGTAAGATAGTGTGCAAGATTCATTGTAGAATTTAAAAATGCACTCGCGAATATAGGACTAACATACACTCCACACACTATGATAGCAGAACTTATTATGTGCTGAGGAAACTCCAAATAACATGTTTGAAACATTATAAGCAAATGCAATTAAAGGGAAAAATGTGTAATAAATATAATCTCTATTTTTATTGTTTCAATTGAATTTTATTATTATGTTACTTCTGAGTTTGGGTAGGACACAGTTTGCCTTTTATATGGAATGACAACTTATGCGCATCTTTTTACATTCACTTTGAACCAGTAGTTAGAGGTTAGAGCAGTGGTAACCTTTGCATCCTGGTCTCAACAGCTAACCAGTAATTTTTTTTTTCCAATTTGAAAGTTTTATTGTTTTACATGTTATAAAACCTGGGGTACAGAAAAGAAAAGGGTATGGGGGAAGGAAGGGTATGGATCAAGTAATTACACAAAACACAAAACATTCCATGTCTTCCGGTTACATCACTAGTCACACATTGTCCTTGTTACATCATGCATTACATATTGTGTTTCATACGCTGCGTGTCGTGCATCATAGGTTATATAGCGTGCTTCATACATTATGCATGGTACGTGTTGACCTGCTCTAGTTTCTGGGCTCTTGGGTGTGAGGGTGCCTGCTTCAGCGCCAGCTATGTGAGTGGATGTTACCCTTTCCCATAAGGGTTCTCGTGGTTTTTTGTGTTATCCCCTGTTCTAATATTGTTGCATGTTACTTGGTATGATTTCCAGGAATTCCCATCTCCTACTTCCTTGTTGGGTAGCCTTTTCCTGCACTCTCCTTGCGCCCACTCACGTCCCCACTGTTTGTCCGCTTTGTCCCTTACCCCTATATTCTTCCCACCTCGCATTGGCTAAGTCTATGTGTTTTCTTGGTCCAATGTGTTTGAGTGCCATTTTTTCGTATCGCCAATTTAAATTTATTTGTTGTGTTAGGGTTTCTTTGGATGGGATTTGTGGCGATTTCCATGCTCTAGCTATGAGGGTTACTGCTGATATCAGGACGTGGAACAAAAGGGATTCCTCTGTTTTGGTCATTGTGAGTGGTAACATAAATAGTATACATTGTTGTAGGGTGGGTCGCCATTTCCTGCCCAGCAGTTCGCCCGCTAATTCCTCTACTACCTTCCAAAATTTTTTAATCTCCGTGCACGACCACCATATGTGGCTCATGGAGCCTCCTGTTGTCCCGCATCTCCAGCACGTGTTTGGAGAGTTTGGGAAAATCTTGGTCAAATGCTCAGGTACCATGTACCATCTGTAATGTAGTTTCCTTATTGTTTCGAGATGTGTTGTGCAGCGTGTGTTACCTACGTGTATTGTAAATGCCCTGTGCCATTGCTCTTTGTCTATGATTTGTCCCAGTTCCTTGTGCCAAGCTGTTTGGAATGTCATGTCTGGGTGCGCCTCATCGTCTGTAAGTATGTTGTATATCGTGGAGATCGTTTTTTTAGGGGGTTTGTTGGTTAGGCAAAATTGTTCTATGGAGCGTTTGTTGTGTGTCGCCTGGCTATTTATTTGTACCCCTGTGAGCAGCGATTTCAGCTGTAGGTATGAGAACAGCGCCTTGTTGGGGATGTTGTGCCGTGCCTGGAGATCTGGAAATGCCAACAGGTTGCCTTCATGGTATAAGTGTCTAAGCTTAGTGCAGCCTGCCTCGTTCCATTTTTTTGTGTCGAATGTTGGGATCCCTGCTGCTATGCACGATATTGGGGCGTCCTCTAGGAGTGTTCCTTCCTTTCCTTCCCTCTTGCGGATTTCGTCCCAGAAGTATAGTGTTAACTGTGTGGTCAATAGGGGTTGTATCAGTTGGGGCCGGAGTTTTTCCGGGAGCCACAAGAGCTCCCTCAGAGATGGACTATTTGTCCAATGGGCCTCTATTTGGGTCCATTGTGGCGCTTCTCCTTCCACTGTTGCTGCCTTGATTGCTGTTAGTTGTGTTGCCCTATAGTATTCTCGAATGTTTGGCAGTCCCAGACCCCCCTGCACGGTTGGTTTTTGCAGTATTTTTTTGGCCACCCTTGGTCTTTTGTTGGCCCATATAAATCTGATTAGTGTTTTTTGAAAGGAGATCAGGTACGCGTTTGGTAGTTTTATGGGGAGAGTTCTCAGGAGATACTGGAGTTTCGGGAGTGTCATCATTTTTATCGCCGCAATTCTCCCCACCCATGACAGGTATTTCCCCTCCCATGACCGTAGGGTGGTTTGCGTGTCCTTCAGTAATTTGTTATAATTGAGGTCTAGTAATTTTTCGGTGCGGGGTGGGATGCGGATGCCCAGGTAAGTTAGGTGGTCCACTCGCCAGTCAAAGGGGAAAGCTGTTTTGAGTCTATCGAGTGATTCCCCTGGTATCCCCATTCCCATGGCTTGTGTCTTTGTGACGTTTAATTTGTAGTAGGAGTGTTTCCCATATTCCGTAATGGTGGCCATTAGATTGGGGAGGGATATGTGGGGTTGTGTCAGGGTTAGGAGGACGTCGTCTGCAAATAAACTCGCCTTGTATTCCCGATCCCCTATCTTTACTCCATGTATGGAGGAGTGCTGCCTAATTGCCGCCGCCAAAGGCTCCAGGGCCATGACGTACAGGAGTGGCGATAATGGGCATCCCTGTCTGGATCCGTTTGAGATTTTAAGGGGGTCCGATACGAACCCTGCATTGACGACCCTCGCTGTTGGTGCATTATATAAAGCCCTGACCGCTGAGATAAAACCCTCCGGCACTGCAAACTTTAGTAGGACCTGCTCGAGGAACCTCCATCCCAGTCGGTCAAAGGCCTTTTCGGCGTCTAACGATACTAACACCCCTCCCACTTTCATTCTGCGGACACTGTGTACAATGTCCAGAACCTTCCTTGTGTTGTCACTTCCCTGCCTGTTTTTTATAAATCCCACCTGATCTGAGTGTATAACCTGTGTAAGCATTTTGCCCAGACGTAGTGCATAGATCTTTGCGTAAAGCTTAACGTCGGTGTTAAGCAGGGATATTGGGCGGAAATTCTGAGGGCATGTGGGTGGTTTGCCCGGTTTTGGAAGTGTGATGATGTGGGCCAGTAGGGATTCAGTGGGCAGTTGTTGTCGTGCGGTGGCTTCATTAAAGGCATTTGTTAGGTGTGGCGTGAGGATCGGGGCAAAGTGTTTGTAATAACAGTTTGCGAAGCCATCCGGGCCTGGAGCTTTACCTATTGGCAATAATTTAATGGCTTCCGCGACTTCTGCATCTGTTATGCTAGCCATGAGTTCCTGTTGTTGCTGGGGTGTGAATTTGGGTAGTGGTATGGAGCTTAGGTACGTCTGTATCGCCTGGGGATCTGGTTGGGGTGTGTGAACATCCTCGGCTAGGTTGTATAGTGAGGCGTAGTATTGTGCGAACCTATTGCTGATGTCTTTAGGTGCTGTTATTTTGTGTCCTTCAGGTGTTGTTAAGTACGCTATTTTTTGTTGTGCCTGTTTGTTTTTGAGAAGTTGGGCTGTCAGTTTGCCTGCTTTGTTTCCCTGCGAGTATTGGTTTGCTTTCAGTTTTTGCAGGTAGTAGCCTGTTTTGTCTAGGGCTTGTTTGTGCATGGCCTGTGTGATTGTCATGATGCGCAATTTCAGTTCCTGGGACGGGGTTCGTTGGTTTTGGGAGTTAAGGTCCTGCAGGTCCCTTTGCCAGTGTCGCAACTGTGTTTGTGCCTGCCGCTTCAGGAATGCTGCCCGCTTTATCATCAACCCCCTGATTACCGATTTGTGTGCTTGCCATACTATATTGTGGGATGTGTCTTCAGTATTGTTTTCTGTGAAGTAGTTGGTGAGCTCAGTTTCTAGTGTTTTTTTGAAAGTATTGTCTGTGAGAAGTGTTGCGTTGAGTCTCCATGGGCTTCTATGTGTGGAGTCGTATAAGTCTGCCAGGGTCATCACCACTGGTGCGTGGTCCGACCATGTTATTTGTTCTATGGAGCAATCTTTGACCTGTTCTAGATATTGACCCGCAATCAATATACCATCAATTCGTGAGTAGGTATTGTGTACTGTGGATAGGAATGTGTATCCCCGTTCCCCTATGTGTAGTGCCCGCCATACGTCATAGTGGTGATTGTCTTGTAGTAATTTTTGTAGTGCCCTGCCCTGTCTCTTGAGTGGCTTCAGTCTAGTGGCTGTGTGTGGGCCTGTGGTGTCCATCATCGGGTCCAGCACATGGTTAAAGTCGCCACATATCACCCCTATTCCTTTACTTATAGTCGACAATTTTTTAAACACCTTGTGGAGGAAATTTCTTTGATCCTTATTTGGGGCATATACGCTTGCAATTGTGTATAGAACGTCATTAAATGTCCCCACTACCATAGCATATCTACCCTCTGTATCCACCTCGGAGTGCATAAGGGTGAACGCCACATCTCTGCTAATGAGGATTGAGGCCCCTTTAGATTTGGTGGAGTGTGTGGCGTGAAATTGGTGTGGGTAATCTTGCTGGAACAAAGGCGAATGTGCTTTGAGTTTAAAATGTGTTTCTTGAAGGCACACTACCTCTGGTTTGAGTTGTTGTAAATCTTTGCGAAGCAAGCTTCGCTTCGCTGGGTGGTTGAGCCCTTTAGTATTGTGAGAGTATATTCTCATGGGGGGTAGTATGTTTGGATTTCGAGTTGTAATGGACCTGTAGTGTCTATTTGCGAAGGGGACACCCTTCCCAGTATTAACGAACTGGGTGACCCCTCCCTATTTCGTGTCATGTGTTGGTAGTAGCTTCCACTGTGTGGGGGAACCTTGTGTGTCTTGTCAATGGAAAGTAGAGCATACATTAGTTGTGCAAGATGGAAAACATGGAGGGTAAACAAATAACTTAAAACAGGAATAACTAAACATTTTGCCATAGAATTGGCCTTGTGCCTCCGGTGGGCACTGTGGGGTAGGAAGCTGCGTGCCTCCATGCCTGATCGCATTGGTCTTCGGGCCTAATAAGGGTGTGTCAGAGGTGTTTGCACCCTCTTTGCGTGTCGGCTGGTAAGAAAAAAGTATACGATGCCAAGTTCTTGTTATGGGGGGGTCCGGTCGGGTGCGTCTGGGTGCCCGGTTTTACCACGGTTACCCTTGGTAGTGATTTAGAAAATAAAAATGTTAGGGTGATGTCTATCCCACTGCGTACCCTCTATCAGGCGCCCTTTCCCCCCTCATAGTCAGTGTCCCATTGTCTTAGTGCAATACTTGCCACTGTTCGTGGATGCAGGCCGCGGCCTTATCTGTTTCTCGTGATTTTCTTCCATGTTGGCGGTAGCTTGGCCCTTGCTGCGGCTTGGGACGGCATCCTTGGTGGTGGCAAGCCCCAATCTTTCAGTGCTTGGATACCAGCTTCTGGGGATGCGATGGCTGTCAGCTTGCCTTCGTGCGTGACTAGTAATTTGACTGGGAATCCCCATCGGTATGGCTTCTTGTGTTGTCTCAGTTGCTCTGTAATTCCTGAGAAGGTTTTCCTCTTTTTCAGCGTTGCTGCAGATATGTCCGCGTAGATAGTGATCCCCTGGTATGGTGCTGGGAGGTTTGGGCGCTGCCTGTTTGCCCTCAAGATGTCTTCCTTTACATGGAAGTAGTGTAGTCTTACTAGTGTGTCTCGCGGTTCGTCCGCCGACAGAAACCTCGGCTTGGGGACTCTGTGGTACCTGTCCAGCAGGAGCATGTCCTGGTGGATGTCTGGAATAAGGATTTTGAACAGGCCCTGTAGGTAAGCATGGAGGTCTGCCGTGCTGACGGTCTCTGCTACTCCTCTCAGGCGCAGGTTGTTCCGTCTGGAGCGGTCTTCCATGTCCGCCAGCTTGTTTCCGTAGGATTCTATTGTGTCTTGCATTTCATCCATTTCGGCTCGCATGGCATTGTATGCTTCAGCTTGGTCAGCCATTTTGTCTTCCAGGGATGATGTGCGCATACCCAGATCTCGGATTTCAGATTTGATTTCGTTCAGTGAGGTTTTTAGTGTGAGCTGCAGCTTTTGGTGCATGTCATCCAGCATTCTCTGTATTATATGTGGAGTTGCTGGGATTTCTTCAGGATTTGTACCCTGGGTGTCGTTCAGTCCGCCATGGGCGCCATCTTGGGGCTCCTCTGATCTCGCCATCACTTTCCCCTGGGCATTCCGGACCGTGAAAAAATCGGCTTTCTCCCCCTTTTCGGTCTGTCTTCTCCCCTTGTGTTGGGACATCGTTGCTGGGTGGATTCCCGGTCTTAGGGTGCTCGTACCGCTTTTATTTAGGCCGTGGTAGCACGGAGCTACACAGACATGCGGCTGCTGTGCTCGAGCTCCAGGCCACGCCCCGCTAACCAGTAATTTAACAATATATACAGTATCTGACAAAAGTGAGTATACCCCTCACATTTTTGTAAATATTTTATTATATCTTTTCATGTGACAACACTGAAGAAATGACACTCTGCTACAATGTAAAGTAGTAAGTGTACAGCCTGTATAACAGTGTAAATTTGCTGTCCCCTCAAAATAACTCAACACACAGCCATTAATGTCTAAACCGTTGGCAACAAAAGTGAGTACACCCCTAAGTGGAAATGTCCAAATTGGGCCCAAAGTGTAAATATTTTGTGTGGTCACCATTATTTTCCAGCACTGCCTTAACCGTCATGGGCATGGAGTTCACCAGAGCTTCACAGGATGCTACTGGAGTCCTCTTTCACTCCTCCATGACCACATTACGGAGCTGGTTATTGTTAGAGACCTTGCGCTTCCCCACCTTCCATTTGAGGATGCCCCACAAATGCTCAATAGGGTTTAGGCCTGGAGACATGCTTGGCCAGTCCTTCACCTTTACCTTCAGCTTCTTTAGCAAGGCAGTGGTCGTCCTGGAGGTGTATTTGTAGTCGTTATCATGTTGGAATACTGCCCTGCGGCCCAGTCTTGGAAGGGAGGGAATCTTGCTCTGCTTCAGTATGTCACAGTACATGTTGGCATTCATGGTTCCCTTAATGAACTGTAGCTCCCCAGTGCCGACAGCACTCATGCAGGCCCAGATCATGACACTCCCACCACCATGCTTGACTGTAGGCAAGACACATTTGTCTTTGTATTCCTCACCTGGTTGCCGCCACACACGCTTGACACCATCTGAACCAAATACGTTTATCTTGGTCTCATCGGACCACAGGACATGGTTCCAGTAATCCATGTCCTTAGTCTGCTTGTCTTCAGCAAACTGTTTGTGGGCTTTCTTGTGCATCATCTTTAGTAGAGGCTTCTTTCTGGGACGACAGACCAATTTGATGCAGTGTGCGGTGTATGGTCTGAGCACTGACAGGCTGACCCCCCACCCCTTCAACCTCTGCAGTCATACCTCTATTTCCCAAAGACAACCTCTGGATATGACGCTGAGCAATTGCACTCAACTTCTTAGGTCGACCATGGCGAGGCCTGTTCTGAGTGGAACCTGTCCTGTGAAACTGCTGTATGGTCTTGCCAACCGTGCTGCAGCTCAGTTTCAGGGTCTTGGCAATCTTCTTATAGCATAGGCCATCTTTATGTAGAGCAACAATTCTTTTCTTCAGATCCTCAGAGAGTTCTTTGCCATGAGGTGTCATGTTGAACTTCCAGTGACCAGTATGAGAGAGTGTGAGAGAGATAACACCAATTTAACACACCTGCTCCCCATTCACACCTGAGACCTTGTAACACTAACGAGTCACATGAAACCGGGGAGGGAAAATGGCTAATTGGGTTCAATTTTGACATTTCCATTTAGGGGTGTACTCACTTTTGTTGACGGTTTTGAGGGGACAGCAAATTTACACTGTTATACAGGCTGTACACTTACTACTTTACATTGTAGCAGAGTGTCATTTCTTCAGTGTTGTCACATGAAAAGATATAATAAAATATTTACAAAAATGTGGGGGTGTACTTACTTTTATGAGATACTGTATATGGCTTCCTCAAACCCTCATAGATTGTAAACATGTTTGAGCAGGTCATTCTTCACCTCTAAACTTCTATCATTGTAAAGCGCAGAAAAATATGCTGGTTTTAACGATAATAGTTAACAAATATCATATAAAAAAATCAGGCGTTTCTAGTAAATGTTTAAAACATTAAATTGAAAAACCCTGAAAAAATTTTAATTATTTATTGGGTGAAATAGTTGGCCAATTCATCAGTTTGAGTGATTGATGAATAAAAATCCTGCCAGGAGAAATTGTAAGTCATTTTTCTTTTTATAAGTACTTGGCATAGGAACTTAACATTGGCTGAAGGCACCCAGGCTTGATAATGTGGGATATTCTGGCAAGCAGTTAATGCAGTTTGTGATCACTTTGGTGGAATTCCAATATGGAAAGAATTCTGCAAAGTTTACTCTTCGAGTCGGTCTTTGGTATTATTATCATGAAAATTTTGATTATCTGATTCTGAGAACTGGCATTTATCAAGCATGTCTTATATTTGCTCTCTAAAAAAGTGTAGACAACACTTTGAGGATATACACCTTTGACCAATGTAATAAAAGGTAACACAAACCAGTTAATTAAATTGTAAGTGTTACTGTTAATTATTCAGAATTAGGAGTGGCTAATCTGCTCAGAGACCCTGATACCCACAATCCGTAGTCAGGTGAAAAGATTTTGATTTGGGCCACAGATTATCCATGCCTGGTGATAAATCACAGTTAAATGTGTGGAAATACACAAACAGATACAGACGGAACACAAGTCACCATTAGGAAACGACAAATGAACCTCATTAATGAATTTGATGCCAAACATCATGGTTACAGAAGGGTTGTCAGTGTAAGTAGTGGATGAATATGGGAACACAGAAGAATAGGACACTTACCACAGCCTTCAATAGGACCATAAGGAAAAAGAGAGCAGATGCATGCATTAAGGCAAAATCACAATTCTACAACACTTTCTAAGCACCTTAACATTTAATGTTCATTACATGGAGGTCCTAATTTTCTGCACGTCTGTATATTTTGTTATAGTGGCAACAATTTGCAAGTGAAAGAGGAAAAAACTATACTTTCATCATTTAACTATATCTACAAAGTGCACAATGTATAATACAAAACTGTGAAAGAAGCTGTAAGAAAGCTGATAGCACTTGTGGTGCAAGGGAGGAGGTATTGGATGAAACCTGCAATTTAAATAGGGCTCGATTTACTACAGTGCATACTTCTTGGGTGAACCCAACTCCTTATAGAACAACCAGTTCTGCATTGCCTTCCCAAACTTAGAGGGGCATGGGAGCAATGATGAACACCAGTTCTGCCTTTTTCTTCCTTGTCATGGTAAAAATTATTCTCTAAATAATAAATGGGTCACTTCAATATTAAACATATATAAAATACACACACAAATGGCAGATTTATCATCACCCCGGAGGGGCTTCCTACTCTGCCTCCTGACTGTTTCTATATATTTTTAGTGAGGAAAATGAACCAAAATTCAACCCAGAAGGTGCATTTGCTTGTGTGAATCAGGCTTGGATAATGTCACAGATAAGAAACATCAACAAGGAGCTTCATGAGACTGTAATGGTGAGACAACTCACTTTTTACATTATTTTACATTAAGCAGTGTTGTACTTCAAGCCATCTACATCTGTTTTTCTTTTCTCTTCCCTATTTTTCATGTTTTACAAAGTATAAAAGTAGTTAATTGGAAAGTGCCAAGAAAGTTTTGCATATGTTTATTATTTGAGGGCCCTACTCAGATTTGTTGTTTAGTAATTATATTCATTACATTTTAAGGACTGGGCTGCTGCCAAGTGTTGAACTATGAGCAATGGCTAATACAAGATACTAGTCTCCATCGATAATAATGGGAACATTCTGATTGGCTGACTCTTGTTCTGCACTGAGCTCACTGCAGATACTACAAATACTGGGTGTTTGCTGCAAATGCGGGAACATGAAAGGTGAGTATATTTTATTTTTTTACATTCATTTACTATCTAAATAATAATTGAACATATTGGTCAATAGCTGAAAAAAAAATGGCATAAAACATATAAAGCATTTACACCTTCACAAATGATTCTTGAATAAGACACAATCTGCTTCACGTAACAGTAACTACAGTCAGATTCCCTCTAGCAGTATACCCACAAGGGCATGTGGAGGCAAATCAAATTAAAAAACCTTATTTAGATTTTTCTGTTATCATTGTATTTATTGGGACTTAGTTTATGTACTGAATCTATATACATTATAAAGGACATTCACATTGGAGTGATTCCCACACAGTCTGTTATGCTTGGAAAAAGTAGATTTCTAAATATTGCTTGACTACATCTCATGTCTGCTTACCTATTATTAATTTATAAAATACAGAATTTGAAGAAAATAGTAATATGACAATGAGCTCCTTGGCCATGCAAGGATTTACAATTCCCTGGTTTCTTTTGCTTCCATTGTGCCAGATTTTATTATTTTTAATGCTCGTGCATGAGTGTGGAAAAAACTTTACTAATAACTAAGTTTTACTATGTGTTTTGGGTAATTGCCTTCATATACCATCCAGAGTCAGTTTCAGTATGTACGTGTGTGTATGTTTTGGCAGCAACAATTACACATTATTCCGTGTGTGAAATTCTCTAAATTTTAAGTACAATTACAGCAATCTGTGAAACCGAATGTAAGGATGGCCTGGGTTTTGTAAACAGTATTTGTGATCATCTGCATTCATATTAAGTTAGGTTCATAGCAATAGTAAGCATATTATTGATTAATGCGTGGCTCTGCTTTTAACAGTCAGAATTCTGACAGCAGTGACATGCGGCATGTTTAGGACATGCTATACATGTTTTCTTTATCAAGTCTTGCCTATATGCTAATTTTTGTTCTTCTACTGTATGATACATTTTCAAATGACTGGTTTATAAATTCGGTGATTATTTTACCTAACTCATTGTAACTAAAGACCGTCTAAGACCCAATAAGAATGATAATTACATTTTATTGTTAAACACCTTTTTATCAAAACCCTTATCATGTAATGTGATTGTGTGCTGATTCAATCAGGTTATGCACAACTATTGCAAAACATTCCTGAGTTAATACCTTGGCCAACTCTCTAACCTTCATGTAAAAGAATATGTTTTTATCATGTAATCTTTCTTTTTACTTTTGTCTTGTTTTAAATCCATACCTATGTGGTGCAATTATGGGCATGTTTTATATAAAGAGTTTGCAGATCTAGAAAAAGTGCAGAGACGAGCTACACAATTAATAAAGGGGATGGAAAACATTAGTTACGAAGAAAGGTTAGAAAAACTGTATTTGTTTTCTTTAGAGAAAAGGTATCTCCAAGGAGATATGATAGCACTATACAAATATATACAGGCACAGTACAAACCTTTTTTTTTTCAACCTAAATTACTATGTTACAATGCAACATTTATCTTTTACCAGACACAAAACAAATTATGCAAAATAGTACAAATTCAAATTTTTCTGATTAGATACTTGACATTTTTTTAAACTTACCTGACCATAAAAAGCAACTCGATAATATCGTCCAAATAAACGTTTCTCTGCATTTACAACTTCTGCGATTTTTAGATAGGATCGATGTATTCTGTAATAAAGCTCGGACAGCCTCTGAAACAAATAATTTGTTTTCCCCTTTTTAATGCTCAGAAATACATACATGATATTTGAATACAAAATTACATACCATTTTTGGAATGACAATGAATTTGAATCACATTATCATTAGCTATTATTAAAACAAATTAATATTAAACACAAAGTGGGTCTGTCACTATGCAGGTTTTGCTTTTTAATTTTAGTTTGTTTTTTTTATTTATTTCTCCGTGTGTTTTTCTTTTTTTTTTATGTTCACCTTTGTTTTTTTAGACATACATAACAAGCTATAGGGACTTTATCTTTTCTAATGGCATTTTTGCAATTGGGCAGAGCTTGAGCAAAGTATCATTTCAGCTGCTAAGCTAATTTACCCACAATCAATCAGTCAGTATAATGCCACAGAAGAGCAAACTGCAGACATCGTGGACACAGGAGAACAATATGTTTTTTATAATAAATATATTGGGCAATGGGGAAGTTTAATCATTAAGACACCATGAAGAAAAAAACTGAAATAAAAATAAGCACATGTCTGACACTTTAAAGAAGGCACAGAGAGATTTTGTGGAAGTGTGAAAGAATGGCATGTTCTTGTGCAAACATACACCAAACATACTTAGACAAAGAAGATTTGAATAGCAGATAGTCAACACTTCTATTCTGTCTTTCCTTTACCAAATTTTACCTTCAATTTTAAATATCTTCCTTAAAAAAGTCAACAGTGAGAATTGAGGGTCACCCCAAGGATTAAATGTGAAATAGATTCTAATGGATTTTTTTTTTTTCGTGAGTACACTTTAAATTTAGTTTCGCGCAAAATCTCAAGTTTTCCTTGTCTCCTCTATTGCTTTCATTTTTGACACCTATGACTAAAGGCAATTTAATTTCAAGATTTTTTTTTTTGTAAAATAAATATTGTTACATTTACATCTTCCTTCCTACAGCCTCACATTATATCCTCCTGACCTTTATCAGTGGTGTCCAATCATCGTTTTCCTCCAGCTATTGCTTGGCACCTCATCTTACAATTTTAGCCGTCAGAAAATCATAGGAAATGCCATCATACAATAGTTGGAAAAACTCACAAAAAAGGAAGAAGGACTGCACTCATTCAGAGAATAGCAGGGTGCATAACTGAGCCAGGCTAGCACATACCATACATGTAGTATATACCAAGGAAGAGGCTTGACAAAGGTCTCAGTGGAGGTTGATACATTGCTGTGCACATGATGATCCAATAAAAATGCTTTAAGTTTAACATGATGATGAGTGCCTGAAGCCTCTTCCTTGGTATATGCAATAGTTGGAAGACCAATCTTCCTTACCATAACATGTCAACAAAAAACGTTGGTACTAACTTTGAAGTCTCGTTGCTTCTCAAACACTGCAATGACCGGCTTACTAACATCGGCAATCAGCTCGTACCGTTCAGATTTCCACAGATAGTCTACACACAGATCTAGTTGTTCCACAAGTGTGCCCTGGTGATTAAAAGCAGAGCTTTATGTACAGGTGTAAGCACTGGCAACTTTGGAGGAATTTGGATTAAAAAAACCAACTTTAAAATGTATGTAAAGAATAGCATATTGATTCAATGTACTGCAACAGTTCAATGTTGGTCTTCACCTTAATATCCACTCTGTATTTAGTGTAGCCAGCTTTTTCTGGTGCTGACTTATCTCGCTAGCCTGTACAAATATTTTGGATGAAAAATGAGTATGGTGAAACTTAATGACCAAAGCTGAATGGCAGGGAATCCTCTGTTTTAGATAAAATCACTTAAAAAAATAATTTATAGAATTCTTGCACATAACCACAACAATAAGCTGCAGTGGTTATAGTTACAGCAGAGCAGGTGTCTTAAATTGACACGTTTAATGTTTTACTGAAAACTAGATAACTGCTCTTGCCTCATTGTAAGGGGTATCTTGCATCCCTGAGTCTTCTTTCATTGCTCCCTCTTCTTTGATGTTTGGAGTAATAGTCTGGAAAGCTGGCCAACCCATAGAAAAGGAGCCTGCCAAGAAAAAACGATTAAGTTAGTGTAAAAGGAAATAACACTAGAAATATCAATTCTCAAATGCATTCGCAGAAACCACATGATTTATCCAATAGTAATGTAACATAGAATGATGAGGGCAGCATGTGACATGACACATTTCAAGCAGTAATTCTCACCACAACAAACTAAATGGTTACTATGTACAGACTTGTCAAAGTCCAATAATATGTAGGGATACCCCACGGACCTGGTAATGGATAGTAAGGAAGATAATTCATTGATAAATAGTTATTTTGGCCCTTCCAGAGGTCTACGTTATTTCTCCTGCTTTTTGGACACTGTGTGCGACTTACTTAAAGGAAATTGGCCCCTGCACAATACTACCAAGTGAAATGATTTAAAAATAACATAAAATGTCCATTTGGCATAATTTACCTGTTGGCACAAATAGACATTTTCCAACATTTACAGGAAAGTCCTACTTTGGAGTAAAACCTCATATGTCAAAATATGGTGAATTCAAAGAAGTTTGTGTCCAGAGCATGCAAGGTTTTACTTACTGATGGCTGTATATGAGTTTGCTATGGCATAATACAATCAAATCACACCCCATCAATGTTGTAACTTAGGAACAGGTGCAAATGTTTGGAATTGTATAGATCTTCCACAACTGCTTGTATCCAAATAAAAACTGGAACTAGGGCCAGAGCTAGTGCTTGGTCAGATCTACCATCAGTAACTACCTTGCTGTGGAGCAACAATAACTGTTTGTACAGCGTGCATTATTCAATATAACAACAGGTAACGAATACATTTCTACACATAGAGGAAGACAGTCTCTAATCCATTTGTTTGTAAGTCAAAAATTTTAGAGTGTTCATTTAAAACAGAGAGAGTATTTGTGACTTGGTTTTATAAATCTGGAGATTTTAGATTTTATCATCATAAACTCACCAGGTTGTTGGGAATCTCTAGGTTCCTTCCAAACTCTATTGTGTACTCTTTACAACTTAACATGGGAATCAAATGGAGGTTATTGCTGCTCCATCACTTACTTTTTCCACTGGCGGATGTTAGTAAAGGGTTATAGTCAGAGCTTTGGGTATCTTCAAGCGGCATGCTTTGGGTCTGACTGCTTTCACAGTTCCAGTAACCTATAGTGGTGTGATATTATCGTATAAGAAATGAATGTGATGTTAGTACGTCATGCATGAAGTTCCATTTAGAAATCAGTGGTCTTATGGATTAGTGTTAAATGTGCTCATCTTATAGGAATGTACATAAACATATACTTCAGCACCAATATCACCCCATAGACTTATTTTACGCCCTCACATTGGCAGCCTTTCTTAAAATGGATTCATGGGATCGGAAAGCTAAGTGATCAAGATAAAGGAATAGCAACATTTAAAAGACCTGCTAAAATGCTAGCACAATAGCTCGAGCTGGCACATAGTCCATCTCAGTGACATTATTAAATGAATACTGAATGGAAGGAGTATAACTTGCCTGTTGTCATCAACAATTTATTTCAAGCAATGTAATAACTTATTGTAAAGGGACAGCTCCAAGTTAATGTACATGCAATTAATAATTAGGAAAGTTATTCAATTTAGTTGTGAAATGCATGCAGCCATTTAATTAAAAAAAAAAAAAGAACAGCACTGATATAATATATCTGGGTATTTCTGTGTGTACACACACACATACATGGGCATCCTCAGCATAATGTAAGAGGGGGACAGTGCTTATCTCTGGTGCTTATCGAGCTTCATTTAATTGTAATGCTACTTGTGAAAGACATATATTAGAATCCCATACTGAGTTCTGCAAAGAATGTGATGTGACCCATGCATATTGAATTGTTATCACTCCCATGCATACTGGGGCTCCTAATCTTGGGCAGACCAGAACATACATTTCCTGGACTTGGAAGGCTGAAATTAGCGAGAATTACACTTCCGAGCAGTACTTGTTGCCATTTTAAAGGGGGACTGTCCCTTCAATGGAAATATACCCAATTAATTAAAATATTGAACATTGAATTAATATAAAAATTTATAAAATGACATCATAAACCAGCTTAGACAAAGCTAATCCATGGCAAACATTGTTCATTTATCCTCTTCCCTGTCTGCTCCCTCTATTCTGACTGTTGGATTTAAAGGACAGAGCTTATAACAACGAATGACAAGGAGATAAAATAGAGGTTGCAGGATAAAGAGGTGTGAAATTTATGCATTTAATTTTACTTTCCATACCTCACACATAGATATTCAGTAAATATAGGCATGCAGTTGAAATCTAAATTATTCAACCCCCAGAATCTCAGCTGTTTGCCATTAACAAATCAAACAAGAGCAGTTGAAATAGTTCAACACAACAAATGGTTCAAGGTTTTTTACAAACAAAAAAATGCTTCCCCAAATTAAACTGGAAATGCAGTTTATAATGACTTCTGTCTCCAAATGATTCAACCCCTTCATGGCAAGCGTCTTTAGTACTTAGTAGAGCTCCCTTTTGCTGTTATAACCTGCTGCAAATGTGATGCATATCCAGACACCAGCTTCTGGCAGAATTCCTGAGGAATCTTAGCCCATTGCACATGAGCAATGGCCTCCAGTTCACAAATATTCTTGGGTTTGCGTTCTGCAACCACCTTCTTTAAATCTCACCAGAGATTTTCTATGGGGTTCCATTCAAGTGACTGTGATAGCCAGGCCTGGACTGGCCATCGAGAATACTGGGCAAATGCCCTGTGGGTTGCGATCGCCATGGGCCGAGACTGACAAGGGAGATAAATAAATGCAGGGTCCGTGCAATCAGAGTGCTGACCCTGCTGTGTGTCTTCATGGGCTGGTGAGGAGATCAAAGATGGAGTGTAGCAATGCTCCAATCTCGCGAGAGTGAATTCCAGGAGCTGTGAGTTCACTCACCACTAGGGCACCAGGGATTTCCCACCAGACCACCAGGGCTGGCAGCAAAGTGTATATGTAACGGATCGCCTGGCACCCCGACTGGGTACCTCCGTTGAAGGATGCTCCTAGCGCTTCCTGAGGACTCCAAGCACTGCAGCAGACACCACAACCACCGAACTGGAGAAGCATATGAATCCTCTCAAGCATGTGAATGCTGTAGACAGTTGAATAGGAACCATACGAATAGGTTTACTCTCCTAGCAGTCAAACTGGAACAGCATACAATAAATCCTTCCCCCAATAATGAGACGACACTTCACTTTGAGGGTTAAAACAGGAACTCTCTGTACTGTCACATACAGTCTCTTTTATTCCCAATCCACAAACATAGTACAGCCCACAGGGCGTTACAAAACAGCCAATCAATCCATACAATACACCCAGACACTCCCACACAAAATCCTCCCCTCTGGCTGTGATATGATTACTGAACACAATGGGTAATCTAATTATCACAGCCAGAGAAATACAGTTTCATAAAACACATCACAGGGACCCCAAAACATGCAATAACCCCATAAAAAGTATATCCTTGGAACTGGGGGATCTGGGTGAACCACATATCCAAAATTCACCCAGATCCGTTCAGTACTTTGGAAAATACAGTTTAATGCAGATTCTGCAGAACATATACAGGCTAAATAAAAAACAATCACTGTATAATGTGTCCCCTGCTGTATAGTCCAAAACCACCGCACGATGTCTCTGTGCAACAAATACTGGCGAGATGGCACCGTGTTGAAAAGTCCACACAGTGTTTGTGAGTTAAAATGGCCGCCATCCATTGTTCTCACCATGTGCTTCTGATACAGGAAATGGTGGCCACCCAGTAACTCCACAGTATGTCCCCAGATGGTTCTTAAAAGGGCCAGCAGCAGCACAACACAAATCCATTATGCCCAAATCATGTCTTTAAAGGGCAATACATCCCAGGGGCCATAGTCACATGGCAGGAGGCTGGCAACCAGGCTTCTCCAGTGCATAGTGGCGAGGTTGGTTCCGCCACAGTATATATAGGGATATAGACTATATATATATATATTTTAGTAAAGTATATATATTACTTTAATCTTCCCTCCACTGCACCCCAAACACACACACTCTAGTTGCACCCTTCACACACATACTGCACCCCAAACACACACTGCACACCAGAAACACACACTCTGGTTGCACCCTTCATACACACACCCACATGGCACCCCTCACACACACACGGCACACCTCACACACACACTGCACCCCTCACACACACACTGGACCCCAAACACACACACACTGCACCCTAAACACACATACTCTAACTGCACCTTTCACACACACTGCACCCTACACACACACTCCACGCCACCCTTTACTCACTCCACTCCACCCTTTACACACACACTGCACCCTCTCTCACACACACAGCACCCCTCCTCCAATTTTCATTTATATAGGTATTGTAATTGATTCCACTGGCTTAAACTCAAAGTAACTGCATTTAGTGTGGATACCTCATCCCTTAACCCACATAGGTTGTAATAATAGTAATACATACTTTTAAAAAAAAAGTCAGATTAAACAAGGTAATTTAAATAACGGTCTAAACTTTATAAAAATGGTTGAGGGTATGTGTACTTAATCTGCAAAAGGCTAAAACTAACTTTATTGCATTGACTTTACTGCATGAAGAAATCATTTGAATTAACTTTATTAACATATATAGATATGTTTGGGAAATATCTTGAAAGTACAGACATACGCAACAACAGTATAATCAGATACATAGAGGAGTAGTATAAACATACATACACAGGAACAGTATTAGTAATTTTGCAAGTTTTGTTTTGTTTTAATTAACCAGTTGGTGGCAGTCTCTACCCTCTTTGAGCAAATCAATGGTAAAAAAGAAAAAAACAGACACAAAAACAAGAATAAAAAGTGGTAGAGAAACTGAATCTTTAAGGCCACCAATGTAAAAAGAGTTACACAAAAATAATAAAATATGCATAACACAGGCACATGCATGAAAGTTACATAGTTACACAGTTGAAAAGAGACTTGCGTCCATCAAGTTCAGCCTTCCTCACATTTGTTTTTGCTGTTGATCCAAAAGAAGGCAAAAAACCCAGTCTGAAGCGCTTCCAATTTTGCAACAAACTAGGAAAAAATTCCTTCTTGACCCCAAAATAGCAGTCAGATGTCTCCTTGGATCAAGCAGCTATTACCCCATTAGAAATTATATCCCTGTATGTTATGTTTTTGTAAGTATTTATCCAATTCCTGTTTAAACATCTGTAATGACTCTGACAAAACCACCTCTTCAGGCACAGAATTCCATATCCTTATTGTTCTTACTGTAAAAAAACCTTTCCTTTGCCTTAGATTAAATTTCCTTTCTTCCAGCCTAAATGAATGACCTCATGTCCTATGTATAGCCCTGTTTATGAATAGATTTCCAGATAATAGTTTGTACTGGCCCCGAATATATTTGTATAAAGTTATCATAATATTTAGTTTTTCCAAACTAAAGAGATTTAAATTGTTTAACCTTTCTTTGTAACTAAAGTGATCCATTACTTTTATCAATTTACACTTTCTCTAGTGCCACCATATCCAGTGCCACCATATTCTTTAGAACAGGCGCCCACAATTGCACAGCATATTCAAGGTGTGGTGTTACCAGCAATTTATAAAGAGGCAAAATTATATTTTCATCCCTAGAATTTATGCCCCTATGACAAAACCTTACTGGCCTTAGAAACTGCAGATTGACATGGCATATTGCTGCCAAATTTGTTGTCTATAACAATACCCAAATCCTTCTCGTGTGTGGTTATCCCTAGTTCACTACCATTTAGGGTGTAAGTTGCTTGTGCATTCTTGACCCCGAAGTGCATAACTTTGCATTTCTCTATGTTAAATTTCATCTGCCATTTTAGTGCCCAGATCTATCTAAATCCCTCTGCAGCAAGTGAATGTGATACTTTTATAAATAACCCTTATAGTAGCATGTTGAGACATACAGTGTATAAAACAATAATATATATTCATTGCACTGTGATTGTTTTTATCGTTTATGTGATGATTTCATTTATGGATC